TGCTTTTTCAATGAAGTTATGTATTGCCATTTCTGTAAATAGCTCGATCTTGACCTTGGTCATCTTAAGCATAGCATTCCAGAATAGAGAAGGTGCAGATACATAATGGCTAGGATCAAGGCCATAATGATGCATGAATGTCTTTCTAAATGTTGTCCAGATATCTGCTAGACTAAGTACGTTTATTTTGAGATAGAGATTATTATATTCTCCCAAGTTTTTGCATCCAAATTCTTTCTATACATTTTGGGCATGATTATAATCCTCTTGTGAAATCTTTCCTCTAAGGACACTATGAAACTCATTAATCAGAGGTAATTCTGTTTCCTTAAATCGATTATGGGAGTCTATGAATTCATGAGGAAAGATTCCTTTGTGATATGCTAAGGAAATCTGTTCTGAAGAATAGCCTTGCTTCTTAAAATACTTAGTCGTAATTGGGTGGTTATCACCCAAATTCTTTGTAAGAGAGGCCAAGCTAGAATTCATAAATTACATACTATCAATATACTTAAGCTGGCCTACCTTTGTAAATTTATATCGCTCAAATATTTCAGTAATAACAGTAATTCGAAGGGAATTACCTGAGCATCCAACAGATTTACAAATCAAGTGAGAGTCATATCCTCAGAAGTTATGAAATATAATTGGGATTGGTATCTTCCATGGCTCAATCTGAAGTTTAAGATTACAAGTATTATGGGATGCCCCTCAGAACTCACCTGTGATATGACAGTAATCCCAGACCTTTTTATCTCTAGCTTCTTCCCTAGCAAATTCAGTTTGTGCTTTAAAGATTGCTAATTATAAGGATTTATAGTCTTCAGGATTCTTAACAGCCTTTAGCAATTCTATATAGAGATTTTTGAGATCCCTTTCTGATTCGATATTTTTTTCCATTTCCCAGATTCTTTTTGATATCTCTCTAGGTAAAGCTATCTTATTATGTAATTTAGGATCTTGAACAATTTCTGTAAGCTTGTTAGTGAGATTCACAATCTTTCTTTCTAACCTATTAATCATATATGTATCTATATTAAACTTGTCTTCACAAATCTAGCATCTATCTGCCTCTTTAAACCTTCTTTGGTAGTCATCCGTAATAATATGCTCATGCTTAACAGCTAAGACCTTATTTATTTCTACCAATTCTTGATCGATCCTTCGGATGAATTCTTCTGTAGCATTTATCCACGATATAAGAAGGGACCCCATGTTTCTTCAGTATCAATCCAGTAGACTTTATAGCTAAAATTATTAGCTTCTTCTTCTGCTATTTTTCACATATTTCAACCATAATGTGTATCACACTTCTTCTTTAATGACTCAAAATCTGCAAAGATAACATATAGAACATTGATCTGACGCCCATAATTCTTAAACTTTTCAAAGTCATTAATACCTTTTACAGATATAGTGACTCTTTGTGGAGCTTTACTCAATCCAAAATACCATTGCTGGTGATGGTTTAATGATTTTATTGATTGGAAGCTTTGAAAGCATCGATTGCAGAGATGCTTCTTAACTTTATTAGCATTATCCTTATATACTAAACCATCCAGATTCTTGATCCAAAGAAAGTGATTCTTTTGTCCATATTTTCCTTCCTCAGATTTTGTAATATCTGTAAGGAACATAAGATAGATAATATGTTGCCTGTTATAGTTTTTACTATAAAGAATGGGTTTGGAAGTACATATTTCTTCTTCTCACTTCCAGATATTTATGGAGATATCTGGATTTATCTCCTCAATCTTTTGAAATATTTGAGGACAGATTGGAGTGGGTATTAAGATTCTATCTAACTTGACAACATCTAAGTAGGGTTTAAGCTTTTTAGCTCTAAAAATTTGTTCAAGATGATCTGTATGTCCATCCTAATAAGCGAAGTAGACATCTAATACACCTTGAAGACACTTTTCAGAAGGTCTATTTATTTCTGGATCAATGAGACCTTTATTATCTGGATTGATAGTACATTTTGTATTGGAGAGTTTTTTGGGAATATCAATGTAAGAACCTCCAAAAGCTTGACGAAGTGTATATTACTCTATAAATATCATTTCTAATCGGAGAAGGATTTTACCTGATTCTTCTTTTAAATATCTCTCGATCTTTTGATCGATTTCTACACCAGATTGGGTTATATGCTCATCTATATATTGTTCTGAAAGAATTTCACATTGGTAGCTTCTATGATATGGATGATGATATTTGGCAGTATAGTTTGCCCGATCTGAAATATCACCTGTTCCTTTATAAGTATATGATACATATGTAGCATATATGACCAATGCCGATTTTATTTGATCCCTTTTGTGAAGCTCTTCTTTAAGAATATCTGTGATTGCCCCACGTGCTTCTGCAATAAGTTGGGGCATATAGGAAGCATCTGCATATTCTATTTCATTATCTTGCTCTTTATTGAATGCATAGGCAAGATTTTTGCATGATGGAATAACTCCCTCCTATACAGTCATATATTTTAGAAAGCTGTATTGTCTGGCAGGATCACGCTCACTTTCGAAAAATATTATATCTCCATATGGTGGTTCCTCCTCTTTATAGATTCCTTCTACTTCCTCATAAATTGACCAGAAATGCTTTCCACTAGCATATTCCTTTTCTGCTTGAAATCCTATAAATACTTCTTCAGGAACTTGGCTTAGCTTTTTAAGTAAATCATTAATTTCTCCATTATGTATTGATTGTATTTCTGGTTGCCCTTTCTTATGAGCTTGGGTTGATGGATCGGATCTAGCTTCGGGATCAGGAGTTTGGTTAATCACTTTTGGCTTTTCTTGAGTGTCTTATCGCTCAATCATGCTAGGTCTCTCCTTTTGATCCTCCTTTTGACTAGAAGTCTCAGAAGCTAGAGCTTGTTTTGGTATACATTGATTTTTATTACTTTTGTAATGCTTTTGAGGTGTGGCAAAAGTCTTATTACAGCAAATACATTTACGATTTTTTTTGTCTTTTCTAACCATGGTACTATAATAAGTCTAACCTCTAATATATGTGTAAACTTTTGCTCAATTTA